TGTGTACAAGTTGTTAGAAGGCTAGCTGGATTAGCTGTGCTACGTAGTACTGGTCATCTAGCCTCTTCCTCACCATGGCTTCCACCATGCATCTGGCACTTGTGCTTCGATGCCTTGTCGTTAGTCACGCTCATGGGTCAAGCCGCGTCCTCCGATGGTCTGACGATTCAGATGTCTCGCCGTCGACGACAAGTTGCCCGTCGATCACTTCAGGTGCAACGCGCTGTATAATTAGGGGTTTTGGTTTTTAGTCGTTTCTAAAATTTATGTCATATCAAATATTTAGAGTTTAATAAGGAGTATTAAATATAAATTAATTACAAAACCAATTACATAGATGGAGGCTAATTTCGAGACGAATTTTTTAAGCCTAATTAATCTATCATTAGCACATGTTTACTGTAGCACAACGTTATCAAATCTTGGACTAATTAGGCTTAAAAGATTCGTCTCGCAAATTAGTCGCAAGTTGTGCAATTAGTTTCGTAATTAGTCTATATTTAATACTCCATGCATGTGTCCAAATATTCGATGTGACAGAAATTTTAGGAGGAGAGGAAGGAACCAAACAGGCCCTTAATCTACTTGGTCGCACTTATGCACGTGAACGTGACCAAGGGCATGTTTGGTTCACCTAGTAGCTCCTAAATTTAGTAGCTTTTAATCCCTTTAATAACTTTTTATCAAACACTATGACTAAATGTGATTAAAATGATTTTAGTCATCTCTAGTAACTCTGGAGTTACTAAAAGTAAATAAATGCTCCTAAAGTTTAGTAGCCCAACCAAACATGCCCCAACTCCACACCGCACGAGGCACGACGCTGACGCATATTTTACTACCTTCTGATACTTTTGCAGGACATACCAACGGCAACAAGCTGCCAGTCGTTCACCGGCTGAGCCCATGCTCTCCCCTTGCCAGCGGCGGCGCTCGGAAGCATGGCAAGCCATCGCTGCATGAGATCCTTCACCGCGACAGTCTACGCCTGCGATATCTATCTCAAGTCCGAGCCGCTACGGCTGCCGCTGCACCGGCCCCGTCACCGTCAGCAGACACGCCAGCATCAGGCCTGTCCGTCCCCGCCACACAGAACGTCGTCGCCAGCTTCCCCGGATTGTTCGAGTACACGGTCCTCGCTGGTTACGGCACTCCAGCGCAGCAGCTCCCCCTGTTTCTTGACGTCAGCGTCCAGTCCGACATTCGGTGCAAGCCGTGCTTCTCTCGGTCGTCCCGAGGGGAGCCGTGCGACGTGGGGTTCGACCCTTCCAAGTCGTCCTCGTTCCGCAGCGTGCAGTGCGGCTCGCCGGACTGTGGGTACTCGTGCTCTACTGGTGGATCGTGCACTATCACGTTTCAGCAGCTTGTTCGCTTGCTCGTAAACGATCGTAAATTTCCAGCCGGAAATAGTGTTTCTCTCTCACACCAAATCAGCCAGCAGTAAATAATCCACGATACGATACGGCCTCCCGAACAGACCGCAGAACTCGACTTTCGTGTTCGGTACGGCGGCGTTCTCGTACTGCCTCCCAGCGGACACCGACACCCACGGCTTCCTCACCATTGCTCCAGCTCTGTCTGACTACTCCGGCCACGCCGGCGTCAAGTACGTGCCGCTGGTGACCAACCCGACTGGGCCCAACTTTACTTCATCGACCTCGTTGCCATCGCCATCAACGGCAAGGCCCAACTTCTACTCCGGTCTTTGTGCGCGTACAGCAGCCACTGCATGGACCTCCGTCACTGTGGGGCGGTGGCTGACTGTGGCTGCCCTGTGCTGTGCCTGCCCGCCCACGTGAGCCCACGCCGCAAGGCTGGCTCACCGGCACCGCGGCGGCGTGTGCAGAGGATCAGGCGTTGGAGCAGGCGGGTGGCCACACGCTGACGCCGCTCCCGTGCTCCGTCGCCGAGGTCGTGCACATTGCCTGCCTGCCCACGGCCGGCCTCTGGGGTGGCTGCGCTGGCGCTGAGGAGACCCGAGCCAGAGGCGGCCATGTTCCGTGTGACCAGCCACGACGCGACGAGCGGTCCGTGGACTACAGGAGCGCCGCCGGAGGTCCATGCATTGGCTGCTGTATGCGTGCAAAGACCGGAGGCCGAAGCCGAGGGCATGCATGCGTGAACCTGCAGTGAACCATTTTAAAAGTTCATGGACCAAAAATACAGTTTCAAAGTTGATGGACCTAGATGACACCAAACGAAAGTTAATGGACAAAAAAATGCAGTTTCAAAGTTGATGGACCCAGATGACACCCCGACAAAAGTTAATGGACCTCCAGTGCATTTTACTCTTGATTTTAACAATACCTAAGGGGGATGCAATCTATGTCAACCTACAGTCTGTTCGGTTGACTAGTTCGTATCGTTGCTGGTTCGTTTATGTGAGAGAGAAATACTGCTGACTGATTCAGATAAACAATGTTTTTGTGAGGGGCTGGCCAGCCCAGCCAGCCCGCCCCAGCCGAACGTGGGGCCGCTCCACTTGCTTCCCCTCCCCTAGCTGTATCATAAGCCTAGTTATTTAGACCGGACCGGACCGGCGGTCCGACCGGTAAAAGACCGAACCAGAGACTATAACGGTTCGGTTCACTTTACAGACCGTCCACGCAATTGAACCGGTAAAAACCGGTTAAACCGGCCGGTTTTTTACCGAACCGGTGAACCGGCCGGTTCCTTGTGAACCGTCCTAGTCTAGTTCAGCTAGCGTGCGTCAGGCTGCAACGTGGTCCTAGTGCAGATGTGGAGTGCGTGTGAGGCTGTGCGCTGTCCACTTACCAGCACGCGTGGTGGTGTTGCGCCTGGCTTAGCTCTGTTGACTTTTGGCATTGTTGGTGTAGGACGACGTCACCTTTAAATTTAAAAAATTCATAATTTTCTCAGAACAAATCATATATTTATTTTAATTATCTCAACGAGCACTTTGCAACGATACACTCCATTTTAGTATTCAAAATATTTTACAATGGTGAATATTTAATTATTATTCTAGTCATTTATGCATCAATTTGTAAGTGCTCCATATATTATTTTTTTCATGCACATTTTTTACATATCCTGTAAAACAACTCTAGAATCAATACTTGCGAAACTTGTTAAATTAAGACCTATCTTGCTATAAATGCATTATTCGTTTTATTATCTTTTGACGATCAAATTATTTGAATTAAGGATCGTCAACAAACACGTGCTGATTTTAGACTTTATAGTATGTGTTGTGTACTTATGGGTAGATTAGTTGGAAGTTGGTTATGCAATTATGCTATTATCCTCTTATTTATATATTTATGTGATCAACTTTATGTTGCTAATTCCCTCTTATACAGCATTATATGGCACCGGTTTGAATTATTTGTAACCAGTTCAATTCATCCGGTCCAAAACAATCGAACCGCGGTTCAACCGGTTCTTAACGGTTGGACCAGTGAACCAGTGAACCAGTGAACCGATGGCCTCACCAGTTCGAAGTCCGATCCAGTCCTAATAAGTTTGATCATAAGTCTGTTCACAAAATTATGTGTCCGGAGAGGGCTTTGGTAAACGTGTTCGTGGATGTACTTCCGTCGTGCAAACATCTTCATTGTATTTTTTATTTGGGAAGATGGCGCGATGAACGTCCTCGCTGTATCATTTTTATTAGGGACAATTGGCCACGGGACATGCCAAATGAGCACCGACGGCTGGTGGACACCCCAAATCCGCAAAGTTCTTTGTTGACTGCCCTTTGCCCAACGTTTGTGTTTCCACTTTGAATTTGCCGGAAGACACGGCATCAGTATCGGCCAAGAAAAGTGATGATTTGCCCAAATTGCCCTTTGGCCCAATCTGTCGACCCATTCCATCCGCCGCGACGCTATCCTCGTCCTAACCTAAGTTTGATCATAAGTCTGTTCACAAAATCGCAGCAGCTCCCGCGTGTCCGGAGAGGGCTTTGGTCGCCGGACCAAACGTGTCTCGTGGATGTACTTCCGTCGTGCAAACATCTTCATTGTATTTTTATACGCGGAAGATGGCGCGATGACCAACCGGTCGTCTGGCGGCCTCGCTGTATCATTTTATTATCGTTCAAAAACAAAACCGAAGATAATGGAAGCCTCAAGCTAAAATGATGGCCTCGGAAAGTGAAAGGCCCAAAAGCCCAGCGAACCCAGCCATCGGAAGCCTCTCCGGCCGGGAAACAGCGGGGCTCGGTGCCTCTTTGCCCTAAAATTCATGAGCAGCGTCCTGCGCGAGCTGCTTTATCTGCTGCCGCGCCCTCTCCTCCGTTTCTCCTTCAGCCCGTGGTCGACACAGAAAGAAAGGGGAGGAAGAAGAATGGGTGACGATTGGGTTGGACCAAGGGCAATTTGGGCAAATTATCACCTTTCGCCGTTGTCCAGCAACTTTGCGGATTTGGGGTGTCCACCAGCCGTCGGTGCTCATTTGGCATGTCCCGTGGCCAATTGTTCCCTTTTTATTATCGTTAAAAAAAACAAAAACCGAAGTAATGGAAGTCAAGCTAAAATGAAGGGAAAGGGCCCAAAAGCCCAGCGAACCCAGCCATCATGTTCGTCCTGCGAATCCAGTCCGTCGACTTCCCCGACGCCGCCGCCGCCGCCGCCTCCGCCTCCCCGGCAGCAGTCGCCGCCGACGAAGTCGGCACCAGCAGAGGCAGCGCTGCCACCTCTCATCCGCTCTCCCCGCTCTCCGGCCACCCTCCCCCCTCTACCACCACATCGTCCATACCTCCTCTCGAGCTCCCCGGCGCAACCCCGCCGCGCCCGGCCGAAGCCCTAGGATCCTCCACACCCGCGGCGTCATCCACCTCTACCACTTGTCGTCGTCCACCTCCACCTCCTCCTCCTACGCCTCGGCCGTCGCCGCCACCTCCTCCTCCTCGTCCGGGCCGACCGCCCCTCAGCTTGCCTCCGACTCGCACCTCCCGGTAACTACTCTTCCTCGGGTTCTCTCTTATTGCCTTCCGCGCGCTTACGCCAGTTGCTTTCTGTCTCCCTCTCGCAGCCATGTCGCGGCACGCGCCTCCTGGTGCTCGCCGTTCCGACGCGCGTTTCGCCGGACGACTTTGTTCGCTTCTGCGGCCCCTACCTCGAGCGTGCCTCCGACATTCGTTTCATCAGGTCAGTTACCGCCTTAAAAACAAATGGCAACATGCCCTGTTTAGTGAGGAATTTACTTACACATGCTGTTCGAACGGTAGGGATGATGGAGTGGAGGACCGGTACAGCGTCCTTGTGGAGTTTGAGGACCAGAATAGCGCTGAAAGGTTCTACGCGGATCTCAATGGCTGGAGGTTCTCAACCTCTGAGGTGTCAAATATTCTTAGTTGAATTCCAGTTTATTTGCTGATCATATTCGAGACTGTTGCTAAATTGGCGATTAACTCTTGTTCCATGGTGTAGCGAGAGGTGTGCCATGTTCTGTTTATAGCTGCTGTGCAGTATACACCTTCCTCAGAGGTTGCCACAACTCCACCGGCTGGATCCACTGAACTTCCAATGTGTCCTGTTTGCATTGGTGAACTTACTGTTTTGTATTTTTGTTTCTCGGTTGACTCTGCAATACAATTTATAGTCATGTGTACACGTCACCATGGTGTCACATTTGAATTCATGTTGTGATCTTTGATGAAGAGATTTAGGCACTTCTGTTCTATGCTTGGAAAAACATCTCTGCAAAATCCCCGAACTTATCAGTCTTGGAGTTCTGTTTACTTGAAGGCTTAACTAATAACCTTACTCCTGCTGCATATTCCAATACCTTTCAATTTTGAATTTTTGACGAATTACTTTAGAGCTGCCTTCAGGGAGCAGCTTTCTAACGTACTAGGATCATACCCATATTGAATTATGTTGTATCAAACTGTGCATCCAAGCTTGTTTTGAGGAAAAAAAGAAAACTAATCATGCGTTGTATAGCCAACATTATTATGTACACATGTGACACTTCATAAATAGACGCTAAATTTCTTATTTTCCTGACTATAGTTTTTAACTTTAGATACCTTTCTGTTTGATGCAACAGCAACACTTCATCTATTATTTTTACTTTTCATATTTTGTTGATTGTTTAAGTTGTCTGCCCTGTTTACGGTACACCTAACTATTCTCTGCCATCTTAATGTGTTAATTTATCAGAAAGATTGGATCAAGACATCAGTGGGATTTTGGCAACTACTTGTGATCACTCTTTCCAATGCTCATGTGTTTCAGTGTGGGCCAATTCATCCTGTCCGGTAATGAATGATTGTTTTGCTCTTAAATAATTTGCCCTAGGGCAGTAAACAGTCAAAACATGGGCTCGCTGTGGCGTTTATTATTTCTTTCTATGATGTATACATTGTACTGGATTTGAAATAACAAGTACGTCATATAAATTTATAGTTGTGTTATTTGTGCATAATCTTCTTGATGACTAGTGAATTTCTGGTGTGCTTGATATTCTTTACAACAGTTTGGACCCCCCCCCCACCCACCCACCCAACACCAAACACACACAAACTTGCTAATTTGATATGCTGGGCACCCAATATGAACTTACCCAGAGGCAGGGACATATACATGATACTGCTTACTGAATTCACTAGATGTCTACATGTATATCTTCCAAGTAATTGCACAAGGAAAAAATATTGAGTTTGGTAATGGAAACCATGTGAGTCATAGGGACATTATACTCAGGAAATGCTTGCTTATGTGCTCCAATTTATTATTGCCAGTACTTCAACTAGAAGTGATATCGAGTTACTTCCAGTGTATTGAGAATTATGAGAAATGAGAACGTTTTCCTTTCCATTATCACATATGGAACTTTATTGAGCATGAGTTGGGCCTTTACCAATAGCTGTTTGCATTTCAGGTATGCCAGTTTTGTCAGAAACAGTCTGAAAATTCTACATGTTCTGTTTGCCAAACCACTGGAAACCTCTGGATATGTGTGATATGTGGTTTTGTTGGATGTGGAAGGTATGCCATTACTGACTTACTCCCTTCAGTTAGTAAAAACTGACGTTTTCAGACAAGAAAAACAAGCTACATGCAAGTCACATTTGTTGTCTGAAACGTTAACTAAAGTTGGCTGGAGGTATTAATATTTTCTGCTGTAAGTCAGTAATCAGTAATCATTGCCATCTTAAGGGTGTTCATATTAAAGTATTTTTACATACATAATTACGTAGTCCAAGTTAAGACTGCTACATGGAAAGACATTCATTTATAATGATGCGGACACTAGTTATTATCAGAAGATTGAAATACACAGCTTGGTATTCATTGAACCTCTCTGTACCTGGCCAATCAATCTTACTATTATAGTAGTAAAAAAAAAAAATTCAACCTTACCAATATTGACTTCGATGTTCTAGGTATAAAGAAGGCCATGCGAAACAGCACTGGAAAGACACTCAGCATTGCTATTCACTAGATTTGGAAACACAGCGTGTTTGGGACTATGTTGGTGACAGTTTTGTACATCGGCTGAATCAATCCAAGAGTGATGCAAAGCATGCTAAGTTCAAATCAAAATGTAAGTATTCTGGGGATGACTGTGTAAACTGCTCGTGCAATGATGACTCTGACATGGGTGGAGCTATGTTCAACAGCAAAGCTGAAACAGTAAGAATTTTAAGTTCACTTGATTTGAATTACCCTCTCATGTTTTGCTGTTAATCTCGTTTTATAAATTACATACACCGTGCTCTTCTCAATAGATTGTGGATGAGTACAATCGCCTCCTGGCAAGTCAACTTGAAACTCAGAGAGAGGTGCAGTCCATACCTGCTAAGTTTTCTATGTCACTATTGAAAGCAAAGTTTGTCTCTGATGTATAGATTGTATAGACTCTGTTAGCCAGTTGAAAACGTAGTTCATCTTTGATGCATTCATCTGCCTAATGTTCATACTCGTAGTATTATGAGGGTCTGTTGTCTGAGGCTAAAAGAAACAAGGAGCACCAGATTTCTGAAGCTGTTGATAAAGCTGTAAATGATAAGCTTCAAGAGATGCAACTTAAGCTTGAGAACCTTATTGTGGAGAAAACGAAAATTGCAGATGTGAGCATTTTATCTCATGCATATTTATCAAGCACAGCCAGCTGTTAGCATTATTATAACCAATTGTCTCGTTGTGTTGATATTTTTCTGCCTTTCTGCAGATGAACGAAAAACTAACTAGGAGCCAAGACATGTGGCGTCAGACACTAAGAGATATAGAGGAAAGGTGTGTTTTATTTCTGCAAATAGGAAACAATGTTATTATGGTTTCAAAAACAGAAATAATACTATAAGGCTACAAATGGCATCCACTGAAGTAACCCAATTCATTGATATTTGCAATGATCCAATGAACTATATATATTTTTAAGTCCCAGTTCAGTGAAAAGGTCACTCTGTGTGACCACAAGTTTTCCTTTTTGTTTGTTGATATTAATAATTAGGTATGCATTGTCAGGAAAAGAGCACAGTTGAAGTCCAAGGACGAAATGATTCTCGATCTGGAAGAACAGGTGCTTTTCATTGTTTTTGTGTGAAGTATACATTTTCAGAGGGTGGTATTTGTTGTTCAGTAACAAGGGCCACTCCTTGACACTTGTCTTGTAAAATTCTTGCAGATAAAGGATTTCAAATTTTCCATCAAGCTGCAGAAGTCAATAGAGAAGAACGACGGTGTCAAGGGTGGTACGCTGGTTCCACTCCCTACAGTTTCAGATTCTGGAGGCAAGGGTAAAAGGTCATCAAGAACAAGCAAGAGGAGGAATTAGTAGCCTTTGCTGACTAGCAGTTAGTCTTGACTGGAACACACGTATGCGAACCTTATTGGCATCTATTTACTTGGTATGTGTTTCCCGGATAAACTTCTTCGAAGATATGAACTTGGATACTACATGCGGAAAACACAATGTATATTGAAGAGATGTAACAAGTGGAGTGTCTTGAAATTTGTTCATCTCATAACCACATACAGAGCCAAATCTCGAAGCATTGCATGTCAAACGCTAAAATACATGAAGAATGGGATCGTCAGACGCCTAGCCTCATTCGGGTTCCACCTGGCTTCTGAGTTCTTCGACAGTACAAGTTTCTGAATTTGGTATGCTACTGCGAGTTAACACGAGCTAAGACCTTTTGAAAAAGAAAACAAAAAGAGACAGAGGAGCCATGACGTGTGGCGGTCAGGCAATACTTAAACATTTCTGCCTTTTCACTTGCAGATGGATGAAAAATTATCTGAGGAGGCATGATGTAACTATTTTCAGTCCCCACGAAGTTCCTAAATACCTAACAAACATATAAACAACATCTTCCATAATATAATTTGATCAAATGAGCTTCCAATGATGTGAATAGGAGCTGCAACGCAACACCACACTCACAAACCTTGGTGATTGCCTGTCGAGCCATATCTCGCTCCAAGTGGTGACTCCGTGGAACCGTTATTATAACTTGATGATCCATTAAATAGACGGATTAAATTCTTCTCCTTTTCTGCTTATTGATATGCAGCCTGTTCGTTTGGGTGTGGCTTGTCGTAAATGATCGTAAATTTCCAGCCGGAACAGTATTTTTCTCTCACACAAACCAGCCAGCAGTACTTCTTCACGAACCAGCAATGAAACGAACCAGCCAACCGAACAGGCTGATGGTAACTTTGAGATCCCCTGAACAAACAAATTTTAGCTATTTGTTTAACTGGCATGGACTTTATTTATCTATTTCACTTACAATTCGTATTTATACCAAACTACTGATTTTATTAATTTTTATTTCGAATTTAGCTATATCAGTCATATTTCGTATGGACTCCTCAGTTAAATCTAACCGTTACAGTGCGTACTCTTTTATTGTTTATTATGATAAATCTCGTAATTTTTAGACCCTGTCGGTGAAGATGGTGGCTTCTTTTAATAGTATTGTACAATAATATACTCCTTCCACCCCAAATTATAAGTCTTTCTAACTTTCTAGGAGAGTCAAAACATCTCAAGTCTGACCAAATTTATATAATAAAATAATAACATTTATAATACCAACTAAGTATCATTAGATTCTTTATTAATTATATTTTCATAGTATATCTATTTGATGTCACAAATCTATGTAATTATCTCTATAATTTTGGTCAAACTTAAGATATTTTGACTCTTTAAGAAAGTTGGAATGACTTATAATTTAGAATTGAGCAGTGGCGGGCCCAAAGGGTATTCCAGATAGGCCCAGGACTACCCTAGAATCTAGCCCAAAGTTTATTTAGTATTCAGCGTTTTCAATCTTTTAGCCTATAGAAAGTCTGGCCCAATAAAAACTGAAAGAAGCCCACGTTACACAAGGCGGCCAGAGCTGCCGCGTGCTCCGGCCCTTAGGCAAGCGTCGTCCCCACGCCCCACGCAGAGGCACGGTGGGCCGGTGGCAACGCTTGGCCTGGCACCCTGACCTGTGCAAGCTCTGCTTGATTCGTCTGCAGACGGGGAAACCAAGTGAAAAAACAACGTTGGATTAGGATGGGACTAGTAACATGTTCCTGACACCACTTCTTTGGAACTTAAAATGGCTATTCAATCTCTACTCACTAGTCATCACTTTTTCTTTGAATTTTGTCGTGTTGCACATGAAAATTTTTTATTAGGACTACCCTGGTTTCACATCCTGGGTCCGCCACTGGAATGGAGGGAGCACGAAATAAAGTGCTAGAAAAATTCATTCATCCCATAACCAAGTACAACCATCGTACATGACCTCCCAGCATTTCAAGTCAGACACTAGGATACATGCAAGATTGCACATGCAATGCAACTTCAATAGACACTACAGGGTTTCATTAGTACATCTTATTCCACGGAGGCAGTCAGCCAAATCCTGATGTTGTGATCTATATTTTGAGCATGACAGAGCGCCCATAAGGATGGCAAAATGAGAATGCAACAGTGGCCCAAAATGCCAACACAAACGAAGCAGCGCTGACCACATCAAGGATTACATCGTCAGATGCCTCACCTGCATCTTCCAGCACAGGGGAAACGGAACCTGATCCAGCAGAACACCCATGGCCCAGTGACATGTCTTGGAGGTTCTTGTTGCCTTGGTAGCTGCCCATGCTGAAAGTGCCAAACTGGCCAGAGTCTGGTATGCATCCTGATAGGTTATTGTATGCCACAGAAAACATCTCCAGCGATGATAACCGAGTCAACTCCCATGGTATCGTTCCATTTAACTCATTGTTTGACAAATCCAAGCTTTCTATCTCAGTCATATTTCCAAGGGTAGCTGGAATTCTGCCGGTAAATGAATTGTGTGACAAATTGAGGGACTTAACATTACTCAGATTTCCAACCTCCCCAGGAATTTCTCCTGATAACATGTTTCTAGATAGGTCGATGCCAAACATCATACTGACAAAGTTACTATCATATGTGTAAAGATTCCCTTTAGTATAAAATTTAAACCATTTGAGGTGATACTGATCAGAATACATGAAAGATAAGTCATCAGGATAAAACTAGCAATTTCCGTTCCAGAGGACATATCAAAACTGAAGCCAACAAGCGAAAGGTAATCTGCTTGATATCCAAAGGACAGACCACCAATGCAAGGTGGTAATGAACCCGAAAGTTTGTTGTGTGAAAAGTCAATTATAGTAAAGAAGTGGAGGAGACATATATTTGGGGAGATACTTCCCTCAAACAAATTGCTGCCTAATAGAAGCATCCTGATTTGGGAAAGATGTTGTATCCAGTCAAGAGTACCTGTAAACCGATTATATCTTAGATCCAGAACTCTGACATAGGAGCTATTGAAAAAAACACTAGGGATGCCTGATATGGAATTTCCCGACATGCTCAGAACTTGCAATGGTAAACTGCCATTACAGTTTGGTATAGACCCCATTAACTTGTTGTCTGACAAATCTAAAAAGAGAAGGCCAGTCAGTTTGCAAATAGTAGGATCAATTTCACCAGTTAAGTTGTTGCTAGCAATATTCAGAACTGCCAAAAAAGGGAGATTCCAATATGAAGCAGTGAGATTGCCAGACAAGTTGTTATCGTGTAAATCCATGATATACATATTGATTGCGGACAGATTGCTGGGGAGTGTTCCTTCAAACCTGTTGCCGCCAAGGCTTATTTCAAGCACGGATAAATTATTGGCCCCACCAAATATTGGACCCCCGAGATTGTTATCTGAGAGCTTCAAGATTGGGACATCAAGATCAGTGAACAAACAGGCATGCACTTCTCCTATAAATTTATTATTTGATAGGTCCACTAACTGTATGCCACTAATGTTGCACAATGACAGTGGAATATATCCGGAGATGTTGTTATAGGAAGCATCTAGAGCTTCAAGATTTGGAAAGACTGAGCTGATGTTGTTTGGCAACTGTCCTTCAAAATGGTTCATAGATATGTTGATAAATGAAAGATTATTGCGTTCAAAAAAATAAATGAAAGATTAGATTGGTGCCACCACATTGGATCTACTGATCCTACTAGCAAATTGTTTGAAAGATCCAAACATAATAGAGTTGCTTCATTGGTAAAGATCCAAATGAGAATATTTCCTGTCAATTTGTTGCTAGACAAGTCAAGAACTTGTAAATGATGTTGTGTGCCAAGGAACGGAATGATGCTGTTGTCGATGTTACAATCAGAGAGCATTAGTGACCTGAGTCGAAAATGAGGTACCCATCCACTGAACGTCACGCCAACAGTCAAATCAGCGTTCATGGATAGCTCTACAGTCTCGAGCACGGTAAGGTTTCTTAGCCAGAATAAATCAAATGTCCCCTCTAGTTTATTTCTTGGTAATATAAGAGTTTGAAGCGACGGAGAAAGATTTGAAGATGGGCTTATAGGTATATGTCCTTGAAGGAGGTTATCTGACATATCCAAGTACTTAAGGTGTGGAAGCTCAAATAAGGAAGCTGGGATGGTTCCGGTCAATTGATTTCCCTGTAGATGCAATTCTCACAAGTTCTTCAAATTTTTGAAAGCTGTTACATATACACACTTTAGTTATTAGGGCAAAGTACACTTTTCAACCTTCAAAATGCATGTCAGTCTAATTTTCAACCCTAAACTGCGAATCCAAATAATGAACACATTCTAATTATCGTAACAGAAAAAATTTGGTCGTCTGGTTTCATAGGTGGGTTTCTATTTTCTAAAAATAATAAAAATCTGATTTGATCTCTTAAAATTCATAAAAGAATTATTTTAAAGCAGAAAAAGTAAAACTAGTAAGATTTTTTTAAATGTTATCGACCTGTTTATGGTATATACATATATATTTGAAACTGGTTTATTTATGTTTTTGTTGTTTTATTGCTTGTAGTCATGCTCATTATTTTTTAAAACAAATAAGATCCAAATATCTCTAAATAGAGTATCAGCAGATAGATAACATTTTTAAAAGAAACGTGGAACTACATTTTTATTTAAAATAAATAAATTATAAAAATTTTAAAAACAAACCAGATTTTTGTTGTTGTAAAAAATAGAAAACCAAACCATTACTAAGTTTTGTAGTTGAAGGTTGAAAATCAGACTTACATATACAACTTGAAAGTTGAAAAATACTAGATGTTACGAACAACACTAACACACAAATGTTTTACTAGCTTGTCACTGTACCTGTAGTCTGAAGGGTACCGTTCATCTCGACAGAAGCAAGATTGATTACTTCAAGAGAAGCCAATTTTCCGACAGATCCCATGATATCATCATCCCCAACGAAATTTTTTTCAAGGTTGAGATTCCGGAGCTTAGTCAATCCATGAAGACCTGAGGATTAATTGGAGCTTTCATTGGACTATGAATAAACTGTTTTGTTCAGAGAGAGGTATATATGGGAGCAGCATGGGTACCGTCAAAATTCTGTAAAGAAGCGAAACTGAAATATAGATCCAGTAACTGGAGCTCATGAAATGGAGAGAACAGATTCAGGTCTCAGAACACACGATCCTCGATGGCATAGAAGTCCAAGTACACATCGTGCAACTTTGCTATGTTCGCTTCAACTTATCAGCCGTACCGTTTCAGCGAAATAACAGTGTTTTTCTCTCACAATAAATCAGCATCCGCATCAGCATCGGCCGTTTTTCCAGCGAGCCGAACAGGGCCATGAAGCAGTCGTCGCTCTGCCCCCATGAAGCCGGGACTTCGTACTGCCCCAACGAAGCTGGGACTCTCTGGTTTGCCTCTATCAGCAAAGACCGGATACGCAGAAGAGCGATCCTCTCCTCAGCGACGCAGCCGCGTGTGATGTGAAACATGGACTGCAGCGTGCATATGAGCATGAGCCAGAACATGGTCTCCAACGGAGACGAAACGCTCATCTCTCTGGAATGGTTTATTTTGCCCTCTTGCCTGTCTGGACAAACTATGGGGATGCACTCAGCCAGCTCTCAGGTGTTATTACTTTATATGGATCTACATCTACTTAGTTCTGCGTAGTAGTTGCCATCTGCCTGTCCAGCGCCCTCCGTTCTTGACAGCCTGATTCCCTACGACCAGACTCCAGTTGATTGACTAAGACAGGACTGCGTTCACGCCTGTCGTGCACTTGTGCTCGGCCGCCCACGATTGAAAGGTGCAGCGAGCAAAAGCAGCCCATGAAAGCTCTCGCAGTCTTGAGTCTTCCTTTCGGTCAATACTTGGTCCTTCTTGGCACTTCACCCATAGTCCATAGAATCCTTGTCTGGTTCTGCTTCCAGATGACTTATGACCTCCCGGCTCGTTCCTACTAAATTCCTTCATGATACTACTACCATGACCATCGATAGTGCTGATCCTTCCTGGCAACGAGCTTCAGTTGTTTCTGATATCTACCAGAGAAGAGAGAACGCATTGACCACTGCCTGCTGATTCAGTGCAAGCTCATTCTTCGGTGACCAACCGCTCAATTTCTTTCTTCACGACGAGGTGCCAGGACAGGCATCTGCCTGATCGGATCCTGTACAGGATTAGGTAGGTAGGTTCAAGTACTGCTAGCATCGCAGTATTACACTGTCTGATACTGTTCAAGACTTCGTTCACTCCAATCCAGAATTGCCTGCCAAGGACGCTTATTTTCAGACCTGACTGAAGCACAACCGGATCTCCATTTTATTTCGGTGGATGTTATTGCCCTCCCCCCTGAACTAGGAGCAGCCTGCCTCTATGCCTTTCTGAATCCTGGACCTGAGGCTCGTCTGTAGTTTCTCCGTTGAAACCAAGACGCAGTGCGTGCTCTGACGGACGCACGGAATACTCAGGTGATGACTAAAATAGAAACTCAGATGATGGCTTAAACCTTTTTTTTTTTAAACGCTACTTAGGTGATGGCTAAAACAAAAAAAAAACAAAACAAAACTCGCCGTTGCCGGGGATCGAACCCGGGTCGTCCGCGTGACAGGCGGAAATACTCACCACTATACTACAACGACTTGGTTGGCTATAGTCGATGTTAACTCTATTTGGATTTATTTCATCCATCTATCATCTGCCAACAGCTAACATGTTCAACGGAACAACCACGACCGTGTGCATCAACATGGTCAAAAGTCAAAACTAGGAGGTAGCGTGATGTCACGTATCGCGCACGTTGGGAACAGCCGGCTCCGGCTGCAACTGTGACTATAGGCCTTGATGGGATGTTGTCGGCATGAACGCACATGTGTTGGAGTGGATTAAAGTAAAATTTAGTTTAAATTCTACTTCAATCCACCTCAACACATGTGAATTAATGCAGATCTGAGTACATCCAAACAAGGCTGTAAGAAACAATGTGCGGTTAGATCTACAAGTATTCTTTCACGATCGGTGTACACCTGTATTTCGTTAAGGAGAAGAGGACTGCTGGCAATCAAGCTTGCCGAGTATTGCGAGTGGCAACCTGGCAGGCGTCGAATAACTAGAGACAAAAGCAGCGTTTCTTGAAGTGATCTACACGTGTATTCACCTCAATTTATATGTGTTGGAGTGAATTATAGTAAAAATTAGTTTTTATTTTTCTCATAATTTACTTCAATATATATAGATTTAGATAATATATGTGCATTCAAACAAGTCCTTGTTAATTTTTTTTTTGAAATAACAAGTTTGTTGATTAGGGTGGATTTTTGTTCTCACGGTGAAATAAAGATCTACAAGATCTTTCACTGGCCACTACCACTTCGCAGCCCAATACACAGAGTCACGGCCCAACGAAACCTCTGAGTCCGAGTTTGAAATCTCCAGCGTGAGTTTCGGCTTTTTGGCACGCCGTTTGTGTTTCTGAAACCGTGACTTCCGACCTCATCGGCGGTGTCTTCGCCACGGCGATTCCCCCCTCCCCTCCGCACTGTTCGTACCACTGGCGACCGTCCCGCCCTCCACCACCACCGCTGCTCCGAACTGCAAACCCAATGTTGAGCATTCGGCAAGCCCTCCAACGGCATCACCGCAACGGTCTAAAAAAATCTCGCCAGCGCTCGCCGCGCGCCGCTCGCCGCACACCGCTCGCCGTGGCGAATTTGTATAAATACAGTTCAAATGGATCGGATCGATCAGTCCTATTCTCTTCACCCTAGCCTCCCCCGCCCTTCTCCATCCGTGTTCGCCAAACGTCGCGCGTGCAGGTCGCTCGCTCGAGTTCCCTAGCTACCACTCGCCTAATTAGCTTATCGCCTTCTCTTTCCACTTTGGTTCTGAATTCTGAGCATTTTCGATCTTGCTGTGCACGCGCAGGATGGCGAGGGAGCGCGGCGGCGCACTCCGGCGATGGCTTCTGCGTCAGGAGTCCGGAGCGAGGAGAACGTGCCGCCGGGTGGCGCTTTGGATACCGCGCCTTTGACTCCCGCCCCAACGGAGCCTGCCGCCGCCTCCCGGCCTCCCCTCTGCGCTATCCAGCCGCACGGGCAGCCCCGGCCGCTGCAGGCGATGCCCAAGAAAGGTTTTGGGGTTAAGAAGGCAGCGAGCAAGGGCAAGAAGCCGACGACGGGGGAAAGTTCTGCGGAGGTCCCTCGTCCCAAAGTGCGAGATGCCATCTTGTTCTGGGAAGAGAATTGCAATCGTAATGCGCAGGTGAAATAGATCTACCGCTACTTACCCTTGTTACTCTTTAGTTAAACTGAGGCTGCTCAGTACTGTTTCGACTCATATATGACCTTTGATTGACACTCTTTGAAAGACTATAGAACATATTAGGGATATAAAAGACAGCCCAGCTAAGTTTGGATGCATGTATATCCACTTCAATCCACATGTGTTGGAGTGGATTGGAATGTAACTTAGTTTAATTCCACTCCAATCCACTTCAACCCACGTGGATTGAAATTAATACATGCGCATCCAAACAAGGCCTAATAGGATTTGGGGCTATTGCAATGCTAGATTAGAATCAAGCATCCACGCAGATTGCACCTTCTGCAGTGCAGCCTTCATATTCATCAACTTGTTATCCTTCTTTTCCATCACAATCCCTTTGCATTCTACCTTCAGTGCCTTTTAAGTTTGATTCTGCACCTCGAGATGCCACATTACATTGCTAAGTCCCATGCCAGCACGACAACCTAATAACTTCTCATATGCTAATAGCCTGCGGATTTGTATATGTTCTTCCATTTTGTTGGTGATGAAAATAACAGAAATCTTAACAATATGCTAATTGATTTTGTGGACAGAATGTTTCGTCAGCACGGCTACAAGATGAGTGTTCTGAGCTAAAAAGAACGCAAGCTTCACTTGAGAAAGCACTCAATTTAAACGCAATATACCAACAGGAACTGGCATCTCGCAGTTCTGTTGAACAAGACAAGGATGAAACCCATAGGCAGGTTGAGGATGAATTGGCTAAGGTGATTACATCGTTAACAGAAGAGGTGTCATCGCTGCGACAACAGCTAGTTGTCAGTAACAAAAAAGAAAAATACTATGTTTCATTACTAAAGAGGAAGGAAGAAGTGAATTGTCAGATGGAGTCCCAACTGGACCAGTCAGAGAGAGTCTATGAAAGTAGACTTGAAGAACTGGAGACAGATGCAGAAAATGGATGCTGCTGCTGCAGCACATCGATGATTAGGATGCAAATATATTTAGTTGTTCTTCGTTCTTGTTATCAGATAGTGATGCTTTGCAACATTTTCATTTATTTCTTATGTAATAAGTCATATTGTTCGTTTGGATAGCTATGGGGTCTTTTCATTGATCTCATGTAATTTTCTAACGTTGTTTAGTGTTTACAATGTTTTTTTAAGCAGAGAACTACATTAATTTATACTTTTAATGAAAAGCTAGCAACTATATTGTTCATTGAATCATTGTCCAATGGAACCAATAAAATCAGCCTCAAATATCATCGCAAGAATGTTTCCACTCTTGAACGTAGGAGATCATATCAAGGAAGTTATGCTAAAACTTGTGAACAGACACCCTGAATCGATAGGATAATCACGTTACAGGTTTCCTAAGTACAGAATAAAGGATTCAAGACAATCCTTCTACTAGGTAGTCACATTAGTAATTGACAAATGCAAACCCGTGTGTAATCTACTAGCACGAAGTTGAGCCTTTGCCATTGCCTTTTGTTCAAGTGGAGTAATCCTTCCTGATGCTCTTCAGCTTTGTGACAACATCATTCATTTCAGTCCTCTGCGCAGGCAATTCACTGCAACACGCTAGGCCAAGCTCAAGCACTGACAAAAGAGCCATTTCACTTTCCAAAGAAGCCGTCTTATTGCTCTCGAGATCACCTTGTATTACTATTTCACCTCGGAGTTGCCTGTCATCCACAACGTCTGCAAGTCTCCCTGGAAGTGCTTCAAGAACCCACTGTCGAAGGCTCATTGTTCCAACAAACATGGGATCTGTGGGCCTTCTACCAGTGAAGACTTCAAGTAGCATGATCCCAAAGCTGAACACATCACTCTTCCTCGATGCTTTTCCCATGAATGCATATTCTGTACAACAATTTTTTGTTCAGAATTCAGAAATGCATGTTTGATCGATTAACCATACAAAACCTCAGTGCTTTCGAAATCAAATAATCAAATATACCTGGAGCCATGTATCCTATTGTGCCAGGCATGCTTGCTGAAACAGCGGAGCTGTCGTCACCTAACAATATCTTTGCAATTCCGAAGTCCGCAACATGCGCGGTCATCTCTTCATCGAACAGAACATTGCTAGGCTTCAGGTCACAGTGCAGGATAACCTCACCGTGATGATAGTGCAGGTGCTCCATTGCCATTGACACGTCAAGCATAATGTCCAATCTCTTGAGGAATCCTAGCGGAGGGCGGCTTTCAGAGTGCAAGCACGCCTCCAAGCTACCATTGGGCATGTATTGAAGCAGCAAGGCTCTGAACTCTAAGTTTGAACAAGTGCTAATTATCCTAATCAGGTTGCGGTGCCGGACCATACGTAGAACTTCACACTCAATGTCAAAACTCGTCATAGCTTGCTCCACATGCTTGTTGAGCACTTTAATCGCAACCACCATTCCATCGTCCAGTCGACCTTTGTAAACCTTGCCAAAACTTCCAGCTCCCAGCATGTTATCCTCGCTGAAATTGTCCGTTGCACGAACAATCTCATGATATGACACAAACCTATGTGTGATTACATCATCTCCATTGCCAGTAGCTGCTTCCTTTACTTGATTCTTTGCAATATATCTTTTGGTCAAGAGGTATATGCAGCTGGCTATAACCAAAAAGATTATGGTGACACAAGGGAGCAGGATTTTTAGCAGGCGCCTATTTGTTGTTGAGCGAGAATTTCCCTGGCATGGAGAAAATCCTAGACGGGGAACGCCGCACAACCCATCGTTCCCTATCAAAGATTGCAAGGTGATGTTTCTGAAAACACCACCGTCTGGTACCGGACCTTGTAACTCGTTGAAAGACAGGTTCAAACTGGCAAGGTAGGTTAAGCCTGCCAAGTATACTGGAATGGTACCTGAAAGATTGTTGGAGGACAGGTCCAGTGCTGCCAAGTTAATCAAATTGCGAAAGGTGTATGGAATTGAACCATTAAACGAGTTGTGGGACACGTTTAGGTAAGTCAACATGGTAAGCTGTTGAAAAGAATCTGGGAGGCTGCCAGACAAACGGTTTGCAGAGAGATCTATCGTGTCGATTTGTTTCATATGACCAAGATCAGATGGTAACACACCAGTCAGAGAGTTGTGGGACAGATTAAGGTTGACGAGGTTATCCAGAAGAAACAAGCTTGCTGGCAAACCTGAAGATAGCTGGTTTTGAGATAAGGAAATGTACTCTAACATAGTGAGATTACCGATGCCATCTGGTATTGGGCCAGAGAAATTGTTGTCGTAGAGACGCAGCTGAACCAGTCTCCTGAGCATACCGATCTGAGCCGGGATGGGACCAACGAAACTATTGCCAGAGATGTCGATCCTCTCAAGACTCTCCATGGTCATGATGGATGGTGGGATTTCCTGGCTTAGCTGGTTGTTCATAAGAATAAGCGAGCTGAGACCGCTTAGATTGGATATTGTCGAAGGAATTCCGCCAACCAGCTTGTTGCCAGTGGCATCGATGACGCGGAGCTCCCTGGAGAGGTTTCCGACATAATCTGGAAGTCTTCCGGCGAAGGAATTCATCTGCAAATTTATGAAGTTGAGCTCCCTGCTATTGGCGAGGCCAGCCAAGAAGCCAAGGTCCCCTTGGAGGAGGTTTTGTCCAACGTTGAGGCTCACAAGTGATCTCATGTTCCCAAGTGAGGTTGGTACTGATCCAGTCAGCATACAAAAGTCCATCTCTATGTCAGATAATTCAGTCATATTGCCAAGAAAAGATGGGAAGGAGCCTGTCAGTCGATTGGCTGAAAGCATCAGGATGCTAAGATGCGTGAGCTGCCCCAATTGCACTGGGATCTCTCCATGGAGCCTACAGAACGAAAGGCCAAGCCTTTGGAGCATGGTGAGATTGCCAAGGACATCAGGGATTGGACCGACGAGGTCATTCCCTCCGAACAGAAGGCCAGTAAGAACAGGCAGCTTGCCCAGCCATGTCGGCACAGGACCAGAGAAGTGATTCGAAGACAGCGAGATGATCCGGACGTCCTTGCTCGACGCAAGGCCTGGCGGAACTGGACCCGAGAAGTTGTTCAGGGACAGGGATATCACCTGCAGCATTGGGAGGCTGAAGGTGACGTTGTCGCCTGGGATTGGGCCAGTCAGATTGTTATTGGCCATGTACAGCATTCTGAGGCTGGACATGTTGAACATGGCTGGGGGCATCGCACCAGAGAGGTGGTTTACCTGCAGGGCGAGGAATTCAAGCTTGCGCAGGGAGCCAATGGCGTCAGGTATCCTTCCCGACAAGCTGTTGTTCGCCAGCGAGACATGGCTTAACATGGGCGTGTTGTTGAACAGCTGGGCTGGTATCGCTCCACTCAGTTGATTGACATGTAGAGCTATGAATTCAAGATTGTGCAGCCCCTGCAGCTCCGCTGGGATCTCACCGGAGAGCATGTTGATGCTCGCATCAAGAAACTGAAGGCTCGTGAGGTTCCCAAGCGCCGCGGGGATGGAGCCTGACAGGCGGTTCCGTCCAAGATGGAGGTACCTGAGGCGACGCAACTGGCCGAGCTCTGCCGGGATGGTGCCGTAGATGCCGGCGCCGGTAAGGTTGAGCACGGTGAGGAAGGAGAGGTTGCTCAGGTGCGGGGAGAGCGGTCCGACCAGCTGCACGTCCGGCAACACCAGGGCGGTCACGCGCTGCCGGTGGCGCCGGCCGCACGACACGCCGGCCCAGCGGCAGAAGGACACGTTGGCGGGCCAGCCCTCCCGGAGAATGCCGAGAGGGTCGGAAAGCTGCGCCTTGAATGTGAGCAGCGCGGCGAGGTCGGAGGAAGCAGTGCCGGCGGCCGCCCCTTGTTGTAGCGATGCCAAGGTGGTGAATACTGCTGCTAGTACGACGGGCCAGTGCGAACGCGCCATAGCTGCAGCGTGGTGCTTTTCCAATTGCAGGCTTGCTCATCTCTTTGTGAAGCTGAAGCCTATGTAATATCTTGACTAGTTGTAGACTTGTAGTCTAGGACTACAGTCTTCTACAGGCCTGTTTGGATCTCGATCGGTTAACAATTGGCAACTAAAATCTAGCTGTCAATTACTGCTTCACCAACCATAGCCCGATTTGCTTGGCTTATAAACCGTGTTTTTTCAGTCGATGAATATTATTTTTTTTCACAATAAATCAGTCAATAATATTTTCGACCATAACTTATCAGCCAAACGAACATGCCACTGACTTAAAATTAGCACGGTAATTGCACGTGCACTGGGACCGAAATTTCTCAACAACTTCATAGCACTTCTAGCAATCCAAACAGGGGAGGAATTCTGCTTGCGGCATCGCAAAACCACTGCAACATCTCCGATCCGCACTTCCCCACAAACGCAATCACGGTCAAAATAAACTTGAGGGCCGATCCCACGTACTGGCGGATCACAGTATGGTATATGGACCACAGACTGATTAAAGTAAAAAAAAAAATCAGCGTTTGGTTAACAGACACGGTAGGATGGGATGGACCGGATTTTAGAAATTGTACCACTCCATTTGGCGTTTGGTTAAGGGAAAACGGAACTGACCTATTTTCTGTTTGATCGGGGATATAAAAAATACCTAACAAGTGGGGTCCACATGTCATTCTTTTTTTCTTTTTTTTCTTCTCCCTTCCACCATGCGGAGCAAACGATTTGCCTACCCGGAGCTCGCACGGCGAGACCGAGGGCGGAGCGCCGCCTGCCTTGCTTGCGCGTGTGGCCACCACGCAACGGAGCGTCGCCTCGCCTGCGCGCACCTCCGCTTGCTCGTGACGGAGCGCCGCCTCGCCTACGCACGCCACCCCGGTGACCACCAACGGCCGAGCCTCGCCGATGCACCCGCCACCAGCATGCCTCTTCTTCCTCGCGTCTTCTTCCTTGCATTCATCTCACCTAGGATGTCCCTGTCCGCCCTTTTTTCGGGGGCAAGATGAGCCTGGATCTAGGCAGTATATTCCATGGTGGGTGTCTCTATCTCTAGATAAAAGAAAGGATTATCTAAGTCCAAGTGTCTCCCTAAACCAAGTATGAAATTAGAGACTATAGTCATTCGTCTTTATGAATATCCTTATAACCATACTCAATTGAACCTATAGCGGCCGAGACACACTACTACACAAACTTTACTGGATGCAGGCGTTTTCGGTTTTCCGCGGCGGGAAAAGCCGTCCGCCGCGGCCTAGAGGCCACGGTAAATCGTGGCTTAATCTTGCGCGCGGCGGTTTTGCCTTGCGCCATGTTATTTTGCATATCATGGCATGGCGGTGTAACGTGCCCACCGCGGTAAATATATTTTTACCACGGCGGCACGTTAGGATGCCCGCCGCGGTTAATCATTTAAAAAAAAAAAAAAAAACTCAGGAGCCGGCGCGAGCCCGTTCTCGAGCCCATTGGCGAGCCCACCGGGCGACGGATCCGGGCTTCCCAGCTGCCGCAGATCCGTGCGCGCTCGGGAGGAGAAGAGGAGCAACCGGCGGGCCCGGAGTCTCGGAGAAGCCGTTTGACACGCCGACGCCACCACAGGCCGCCACCACCGCGCCGATCGCTCGCAGGGACCACGCCAGCGCCTCCTCGTGGATCCCGTGCCTCCTTGCGGATGGCCCGTTGTGGTGGTGGAGGGAGGCCGCGCCACGCGGCGCGTCCTCGCGCCATGGTGGTGGAGGTCCCAGCGTCGTGGCCGTGGTGGATCCGGCGTCGTGGCGTGGTGGGAGGAGGGGTGGAGGAGGCCGCCACCGAACCGCCCTCGCCGCCGGATCTGGCACTGCCGCAAGCGCGCCACCGACCGGATCCGCCTTGGGACGCCGTCACCGGCCGGATCCGGTCACTGCCGCCACCGGCCAGATCCGCCTCAGACGGGCTCGTCGTTGTTGCCCCACGAGCCACCGCGCTCAACGCCCTTCGGAAGAGAGAGAGGGAGAGGAGGGATGGTGGAGAGAGAGAGAGAGGAGGAGAGAGCGCCCGTCTTTGGTGGATATGCAATGGAAGGAGATGGTGACGGGAGGAGAGAGGCTCATGACAGAGAGGAGTGATCATGGCGCTTCTCGGTGGAGAGAGGAGAGAACCGAAACCCTAAACTCCTAAAGTGCTCATTTTATATGGAGACCAGTTATTGGGCCTCGCCCTGGGCCTGTTGGGCCTCGGCCATTTACCGTGGCGGGCATCTTAACACGCCCGCCACGGAAAATACATATTTTCCGTGGCGGGCTTCTTAAGACGCCCGCTACGGTAAATCGATTTACCGTGATGGGCAAAAGTGGCCACCACGGTAAATAAAAAATGTCCGCCGCGGTAAATGGTGGCATTTACCGCAGCGGGCGAAAATATGTGACCGCCACGGAGTGCAAAAATACAACGTTGCGCATAATCTTTTATGTAGTAGTGACAAAGTGGCCTCAAAAAGTGAATCTGCAGCGGCCGAGACAACCAAGTGGCCTTAAAAAGTGACTAACTAATTATTTTAATTTGAAAAACAAAATTAGCCACGTACGCTTGTGTTCATCAATCACCAAAATCTAATAATGGAGCGCGTTCATATATCTTGAAACACTCTACACCAGAAAGTACTGTCCTCTGGTGTCTATGTTATATATAGTCGTTCATTGAAAGCTTGGCAACGACTCTTGCAGCACTTGACGTAGTATACCTTTGTCCCCTCTAACGACTAATCAAAGCTGTGTCCGTCCATCGAAAAGTTTCACAACTACTCCTATGTCCACACGACAATGCAATTATATGATTCTTGCCAGTCAAGCTAATTCAAATTTAACTAAATTTATAATAAATAGTATTACCATTTATGTTTTCAAATAAATTTATTGTGAAAATATATTATATAATCAATCTAATAATACTAATTTTGTATTATGACTATTAGTATTTTTTTATACAACTTTGATCAAACTTTAAACTATTTGACTTCTGAAAAACGAGAATTACATTTTTTTATGGACGAATGGAGCCGTACTCTTGCAGCATTTAACGTACTGTACACCGTACCATTTGTCCCCACGCACCAGAGACCAGGGATTAGCTTACATTTGTTTTTTTGGAAAAAAAGAGGGATTAGCTTACATACTGTGTAGCCAATAGCTTGCATTTAAAACAAGAGGATGACCTGTTGATAAGCTTAATGCCTTCGTCTCGACTGAATCAAATATGAGGTCACGATCTGAGCCTGTTCGTTTGGCTGTGGCTTATCGTAAACGATCGTAAATTTTCAGTCGGAATAGTATTTTTTTCTCACACAAACCAACCAGCAGTACTTCTTCACGAACCAGCAACGAAACGAACCAGTCAACCGAACAGGCTGGACCCATAGCTTGCAATTAAATAAGAGGATGACCCATTCTTGACGAGATTGGTCGGTAGAATCAACAAGAGATGAGGTGTCTATCTGGTCATTTTTTTCTAAGCTGCTGTCATTGACTCATGCATTGTCGACATCTCCTTTCAATTCGTCCATTAACATAAGGCATATCTGGGTAACGAAATCTGTTGGCAGTTCACTAGCAATCAAACATAATGTCTTGTAGTCTAGCCCTGTTCATGGTCCGGCTTCAAACGGAGTAACCCATGAAACCAGCCCATGTTAAGGACCTGTTTGGCAGCCTGTGGCTGCCACCCCTGTCGGCCCGTGGGCGGCCGACAGGGGCGAGCCCGCAGGACCTCCGCCAAACAGGTCCAACCGCTTCGGAAGCTATCTCTGGGTTGGTTTGCGTACGGTTCCAAGCCGGGTAGCCCGCTGACAGCCTGATGCTCATGGCCTCGCCGCACAGGCGCTTCTTCCCGCAGGCGGCTGTCCTCCACTACGTCTTCGTTGTTGGTGTGTAGCAACCAACCAGAGGCAGTTAGAGCTTGCCGTACGCAGCTAGACACGGCGCACAGTCGCTGCAGTGTCACCACCGCCGTCGGCCTCCGGCCACCGTGCCGCTGTAGCTCATGGCGGTCTGCTACGCGAACGCGGCTGCGCGCCGCTGTAGCTCATGGCCGTCTGCTTCGCCAGCGCCGATGCTGCGCCACTGTAGCTCACTGCTGCCTCAAAGGCGCTTCTTCTCGTTGACCTCATGGAGCCTGCCACTATCGCAGCTGTAGATGTCGTCGTCGTGCGCGGCGCACCCAGCAGGGGCCCGCGCGCGCGAGCTTGTGCCCGGCCGGATGCCAGCGCGGGCGGGGCCGGCGCGGCTCGGGTCCGGCGTGACCGGAGGCCAGTGCAGGCGGCGCTGCAGGCGGCGCTGCCGGCGGCGCGTCCGGCGTGACCTCTGCGCGGTCGGGCGAGGTCAAGCGCGAGGCGGGGCGGGGCCGAGGTCGCCACGGCCAGCGCGACCGGCGGCGGGGCCAGTGAGACCGATGGCAATATGGCATCACCATCACTAGCAGGGGTCCGGTGCGAGGCGAGCCTATTGGTTGGGGCACATCTCAAGGATGAGCTTAGTCTGATCAAGGACAACGCAAGGAACGGGTCAGCGAGAGACTGCAAAAGTTCTGTGTAAACCGTCGAGAACGGGACTCTTCCTATAGTGCGGCGCTACGATTTTAGCGGAAAAAGAGAAAAGCAATAAGAAATTGTCATTTTTACTCACGTGCCACATCAGCACCTCATGCCAACGCGGATCCGAGTCAGCAGCCCCATGTCAAATGGCCGCTCCTGTCCCTAGTGTCTTTCTTCATCTCCCTTTCGGCCCACTCGTTCCTCCCGCCGCACCGCCGGGGACAAGTTGCCATACGCCTCCACGCCGCTGCTGGCCAAGTCGCCGCAGACCTCCACGATCCACGCAGCCGCAAGTCACTCACCCCACGCTGCAGCAGCACTGCTGCCTCAGGACATCGCCGCAGGGCTCTGCGCTGCCGCAGGCCTCTTGCGTCGTGCTGCAGTAGCGCACTTCAGCACAAGG